GAATGAGCCCACAACCAAGGTACACACGCCCTTGACCAGAATTGAATCTGGGACCTTTCAGTCTGCAGGCCGACACTCTATCCACTGAGCCAAACTGGTTTTGGCCCCTGGACACCTTTCTATCAGTAACTCTCAAGCAGCCCCATCTCCTGTTATCGAGACTCCTGCAGGACTGGATGCCTTGAGATCCAGTGGGCTTTGAGTGTAAGATCCACCACCTTCAAGCCATGTGAGTCAGAGCCTCAGTTTCCTCATCTGTAAAATGGGAATAATGATCCCTTATATGCTTACCTCAAAGGCTGTTGGGATGATCAAATGATATTGAATGCGATTGAACTTTGTAAAATTGGAGAGCTACACAAAGTGATTCTCCTGGAACCATTTTTCCCATTTCCTATCCTTGAGCAAAAATGCCCTAAAGCTGGCACCTCAATGTTTAAAAGAAAATGTATAGTGGAATATCTTATCAGCAGTCCTTTGAAAATTTAAGCAACTGTTACCCTCTACGAGCCCTGGTCCACACTCAGCTTCCACCTCATAATGCTATAATAGAAGGGTCAGGTCTGGTTTAATTTCCTGTCTTCTCCCCTGCCCCCCCTCCCAGCAACTTGCTTAACCTTGTCTGGTTCTCTCACTCTGCCCTTTGTCTAAATCAGCCATCTTGCTTCAGATGGAAGTGAGTGCCTGGCCATAAAGCTCATCTCCTGGATGGTGAGGCACTCAGACTCTCAGCCCAATAATTGTTGGCAATGGCAGGCTACACAATCTAGCCCTCAGCCTGCTGTTCCATTCCTCTTGGGTGGGTTCCTTTTGGTCCTAATGATTTATCCACATCAACCTGTCAGTTTGGCCTAGGACAGTGGTCGGCAAACTCATTAGACAACAGAGCCACATATCAACAGTACAACAATTGAAATTTCTTTTGAGAGCCAATTTTTTTAAACTTACAACTGCTTCTAACGCCACTTCTTTAAAATAAACTCACCCAGGCCATGGTATTTTGTGGAAGAGCCACACTCAAGGAACCAGAGAGCTGCATGTGACTCGCGAGCCACAGTTTGCCCACCATGGGTCTAGGAGTATAGTTACCAGTGTGACCTGCCGCCTCTGCCCTGGGTGCCTGCCTCATGTGATGACTGTACATAGTGCAAAGACCTAAGGCAAAGGGGACAGGCATGTGGTCTGGGGCAGAAAGAAGGTGAGGTATCTGCCAGGAAGTTCAGACTACATTCCTTCTGCTGCCCCTCTGAAATGGGTGCCTTGGGCTTTCTTCTGGCTCATAGGCAGCACCTGCATAAAAGCATCTAGTGTGTAGGAATTACTCAAGCTGATTTCAAAAACAGAGGGGGGAGAAAGCTTTATTTGCAAAGAATAAACCATTAATTTATACAAACTTACATCCCAGTTTATATACATTATGTATAGTTTATATACACAGTATTTCACACTGGATGCTGACCCCCAAAGCAGCACTTGGCCTGCTCCTGGCCACTCTCACAACAAAGTCCACACCTACACCCCAGCTGGAAGCTTTTTAAATAAAGAAATGATACACCCTGACTCCCCTTGGAGTGATCTCTGACACAGATTAAAAGAAAAAATCTAGTTCCTTCTTTGTGCTCACATTGCCTAGGGGAGACTCCAGGAAGGAGCAGGCTGGAGGCAGTGCCAAGGTGGCCTCAGGACTTCCAGGTATTGGCCAGTCCAGAGGCAGGAGCTGGGAGAACACCTTAAGAGGAGCAAGAGTTCTGATGAAGACTGTAGCTTCTCTCTCCCTGCCTACCCAGGCTCCTCAAGGGGGCTTTCACTTTTAGCCTCAAGTCTGGGAGTGAAAGAATGAAGGGGGCTGTGTGGGACAGGGACTGCTCCACCCCCTCACTCTGCTGAGTCTGTGAGTCGTGGCTCTTTCATTGTGGGCAGGCCACCTTCTCTCTCTGGGCCTCAGTCTCCACATGAGTAACATGGGGTAGAATGTCGGTTGGGCTACATTTTCTCTAAGGTCCTTTCTAGCACTAAATTTCTCTGAATCGATTTGCACCCACCAGAACTTACATAAAATGCACATAATCACGTGTGGATCAAAATCTTTTTCTCTTGCAGGATTTCTAGTCCTTTCCTGCTCAGCAAAAGAAATTTGGTTCAGGATGGATGAAGGGGAAATAAGGCAAAGACGACATTTTCCAGGGAACCAGTAACTGAGCAGCCCCAACAGCTGATTTTTGTGTTCGTTTTGGCTGTTGAAGCCCAAGCAACTGGCAGAGGCTCCTGCCATGCAATTCTCCTTCAAACCTATTATCTACCTGCTCACAAATGCCCTTGTCCTGTTCTCCATGCAAGACTTGGCCTTCTGGTAAACTCACGTCAGCATAAATTCAAATGCTTAATCTATGTCCACATTCTCTTATTAGTAAATTGCTTCACTACTTTGTCAATAACTTCACTTCAGCAAGGCTCCCCAGCTACCAATTGCTTCCCTCCTCACCTCCCTCAGTCTCGGGTTCCCTTTGAGGGTTCCTACTGAATAAAGGGTTTATGGGAATCCTATCTCCCCTATCATCTGGAGAATAGGATAGGTGTCAGAATGTCCTTTAGGGCCACAATTAGGAAACCTTTTTCTTTCCTCTTATCACAGCTTTTTGGAACCAGTCCTCACTCTTCCCTCCATCCCTGGGAGTACAAAGACCTGTATGGTTTGGTAGAAAGAGAGAAGGAGTCACTTAGCTATGGGGAGTGGCCAGCTCCTGCAGCCCATAGGGTAACAAAGGAGGACCTCACTTGCAGTAGGGCCTCCATATGTAATAGTTGCTTGGTTTATTTGGTGGGTGAAAGAACATAAGGGGTTTAAGTTCTGTGGGTACTGGTACCTGCTGCTTGGACCTGGTGTCAAGACAGTTATTTTGGACACAAAAGCTCTAAGTCTGATGTCTGTTTCCCAAGGAAATGCCCTATTCTTTTACCACAGAGCCTCTGACAATCAAGACAACTTGAAAATGAGCATCTCTGGGTCCCTCCCTAGAACCCACATGGATTTAGGGTCTATATTACCATTTTTATTGGGTTCCCTCAGGACCCCAGATTCAACACAAAGCCTAGGTGCAAAGGAATAGTGTTGGAGTCAAACTGGCTGAATGAAGCCCCAGGCCTGATCCTGGTCAAAGCACTTAAACTCTCTTGAACCTCCTCTAAACAATAGGATTTATAATATCAAAGGAGATAATAAAGTACTCTCCAAGTTTTAAGGAGAAATTCTCATCTGTTCCTGCTACACCTGAGGACTATCCAAGGCACTCTGTAAGAGCCCAGCCAAACCCGTTCCTCATGTTCGCTTCACCCAACATTAGCAACCAGACAATGGCTGTGCCTCCTGCCCTGTCCCTTGCAGGGCCCAGCAGTGTAGTGGCTTAGAAAGAGAAAGCACAACTTCAGAACCTGTTTTTCCTGGTAAACTTCAGCTGCCCAAAGGAGCCTATTCCCCATCTCCTCAAAAGTAACTTGTTTCTTATTTCATAAGCAAGAGTAGCAGACTATATAAGGCAGGCCTTCCCAGCTTCGGGTTGGACCATGTACCCAAAGAGCCAGGTTGGGCCCAGGCACTTAGAAATAAGGCTCTTGTATGGTCCCACCATATGATCTCTGGGAAGCTTGGGGAAGTGGTAATGGTATCTTTGGCCTGACTAGAGGGCAGAGCCCTGCCAGAATGCCTAGACTCCAGCTTCTCCCAAGCCTTGATTCAGGGAAGCAGCACTGGAATCCACACTGACCACGCTGTTGTGTGGCTTTCTGAAGCCAGAGAACAGGACAGGGGGTAAGCAGGGCATCAGCTGCTATCCTTTCAGATAAGGCTTTGGTGACTGGCCGCTTGGCTTCAAGATAGGGAAGCCACTTGAAAAACCCCTGTCCTATCCCCACCTCTTGTCCTTTCTAGATCTGATAGAAAAGCTCTGCCCTGCTGAGGCCCAGGGGCAGGTGAGGGTTGGGGATTTTAGTAGGCTGTTAAAGGAGGTGCCTAAATATTGGGATTTGAAGGGACTTCTGGAGGTCACCCAGTCCAACACTTTGACGCTAGACACAAATCAACTAGATAAATATTGTGTTGCTTATTAAATGGAAGAAGATTCTCTTTGTGCCCAGTTAATCTCAAGAGTATCCCAGAATCACATAAGCGCAGGTCCCAGGTTAGGCACCTGTCACAGACAGAGGTAAGCTCTGTGGATAAAGACATAGGAGGTCTAGTCAGGCTGGGAAGGGGGCAATTGGGAGGGATCCCAGGGAGTTTTCTGAGCCTACAGCTGTAAACAAAGTGAAAGACACGTGGCCCCAAGCCTGGCTTCAGGTTCTTATGCAGGCAGGTTTGTGGTCATTCCCTGTAATCACTCCAAGGAAGAGCAAACCTCCTGTACCCGAAGCCTGGGGAGTTGCTGCACTGGCTCTACCTGTGTGGGAAGAGCTCTGACCTGCTGGCTGGCTGCAGGCAGAGCAGCAGGAATGCTTCCACTGCCCAGGTCACCTGCTCAGCAGGTTTGTTTTTTGGTCTCTGCCACAAACACAGACATTTCCCCTCCGATCCCACTCCCACCTCACATCACCCTACCCCACCCCACCCCAAAGAGGGTTCGCTCCCCAGTCTGGAGGATACCTCTGCTTTCTCTTGCCTGCTTCCCAGGACCCTCACTTTAGTGCAACAAATGACAACTTTGACATCAGGGACCTTGAGATTGAAGAGTCATGCCATTAAGCCAGTCAACACAGAGACAGGGAAGCCACTTCTGCTTCATGTAAACCCTGGGGCTTCATCAACTGTCCTGATAACTCAAGGTCATTCGGGAAAGGCAAGCAGGCCTTGTTGTCCTAGAGTCACTGGGGAATAAATAGCCTTGGGGCCTTTCTCTCTGCAGCTGCATCACACACATGCCTCACTCCACAGCAGCACTTTGAGGTTCTGGGGATCCTGGCTCCCAAACCTAGGGCAGGGGCACAGGCAGGGACCAAATAGGGGGAATCTAGGATGCAGGGGCCTCGCCCAGCCTGATGGCCCCAAAGAAAGTGGTGTGCTTGCTCATGTTGATAGAGATGTCAGCGTGCACCATCTTCACAGCGATCTTCTGCCGGGCTTTGAGGAGGCAGACGCCCGCGGTGTAGCAAGTGTTGTAGTTGGTCTTGCCTGTCTCGATGCTGCGGGTACACTGCAGAAAGGGCTTCTCATCCACCACCACCTCATAGCTGGCAAAGTCAGTGAAGTTGATGTAATATACCTGGGTGAGAGGCAACAAGAAGGGATTGGGGGAGAGGGAAAGAGGGTGGATGGGGCCCTCCCCTGTCATGACAGACTGCCAGTAGACCTCATGGAAGGACAGTGCCACCTGAAGGCATGCTAGCTAGCTGATAGGAAAGGAGGGGTGATGGGCTTATACTCTGTCCTTCCCCTACTCTTTTGGGCTCAGATGCCTGAGCAAATCTTTCTTTCAACAGCACAACAGTTGTAAACTCTGAGGGCAAGAACCCTGCCTTATTTATCTCTTTACCTCTCCCAAGCACCCCCTCCACCTTACCCACCCTCCTCTACCCTGGCTATGGACACAAATGAATGCAAACTAACTTCTAGTTGCAAGCCCCAAAGACTATTTGCAGATAAAGTTAGAAGTCACTGATTTTCCAGAGAGGGAACAGTGATGACTTGCCATTTCTTCAGCTCTTTCGAAGCCCGTCCCTGCCCCTGCTGCATTTCTCTCACTCATTCTCAGTGTCTCTTAGCCCCCTCATTTGACAATTGAGGAAACAGATCCAGAGAGATGGAGAGCTATCCACCACAAATGAGATCAAGAATTTGGAAGGGTAAAACCCGGGCACCTAACTTTATTTTGTGGCCAGGAGGAAGTTCGAACCTATGTTCAATGGCCTGGTGTTAAGGGGATTTTCCCAGTTTGCATGGTGTCCAAAGCCTGAGGCTTCTCCCAGTTATCTCCTAGACCCAGAAAATTAATTCATCTTTCACTACCAAGCTTTGATCCCCTACCAAATGGAGCTTAGGACAAATGCTCCATAGGACACTGGAATTACATTTATGTGCCCCCTGGGGATTGGGACCCTCATCTTTCACCCTAAATCACTATCAAAGGTTGCTTCCTCCATGGGCTCTATAGGAGGGATCAGAGCATTCTGGTGCCATATACTTTCTTGGGTCAGCACTCAATCTCTGCCAGGATGCTTGATGGACTTAGCAAATACCTATTAACCCACCTTCTGTGGCCACTCCCCTGTGAGGCCCTTCTGCTGGCTCCACAGTCCTGCTATAATCTGCCTGCTTGTTGCCCACCCCATAGAAGCCCCAACCTCAAGGCTCATCTACCTCCCAGCTCATAGAAGCCACCCAGTGGAGGCAACCAACAGGGGTGGAAGCAGATAGGCAGTATGCCTGGGCAAGACAAGGACAAAAACAGAGGGAGAAAAGGGCTGGGAGAATGATAACAGGAAGGAGGCCAAGAATAACAGAGAAACAGGAAGTAGAGAAATAAATGGGAGGAAGAACAAGGAAAGATAATCAGAAATTTTTTTGAGGTTGAGAGCAAGTCCGCAGGAGCACTCTTCATTGCAGACCCAGCAACATTGGGGAATGGGTTCTCAGCATCCCTGGAACTAACTTTCAAAGAATGTACTGAGATAGAGTTCAAGTTTGGCAGTAGAACCAAATAACCTGGGAGTGGGGTGGGATGAGGAAGAACAAGGGCCTGGTGCCCTGCAGTAGGGAATCGATGCCAGGGTGTGAGAGGGACTTCTTTTCAGTTTTTCAATGATATATGGCTAGGAAAAAATCTAAACATTCCCTTCTCTCTTTCCTCTTTTCAACTCCCTCCCAATATGGTTCCCCCAGCCCTTCACCCACCAAAGCAGGCTGGTCTTGGCTGGCTCCACAGGACCCCTATATGGCCTGCACGGGATCTGCATTCTGTATATAAGAAGAGTTAGGCCTAAGACCGTACTCACTTCTACCTGACTATAGATGAAGTAGGTGCCGTCCACCAGTACCTCCAGCTCCCCGCTGCGGGGATGTAGCTTAAACACCTTGGGGTTCATAGTGATGCGAGACCAGTCATTGAGCACTCCACCTGAAAGATCTCAGTATGAGAGAAGGGCAGTCACTCAGTACATGTCAGAATAATCTGGGCAATAGAAACAAGAATTATAAAGTTGTACACAACCTCCACCCCATCCCTATGCAACCAGAGTAGCCCAGGAGGCCAAGCTTTAAGAAGAGCATTTGCAAGCTCAGGGGGTCTGCCTGTCTTGTCTTCCTCTTTTTCCCTGACTCCTCCATCCAGTAGGGTCTTTAACCAACACCTTGTAGTTAGAATTGTAGGTGGGGAGTAAGAAGAGAGTGGGCACACAGACCAATTTTCTTTGTTGTTCTGGGGCCTGCACAGGCAAAATTCAGACACCGAGTGGCAGGCTAGCTCTTATTATGCCAGTTGATTTCACCAGCCATAATTCCTCAATCTCTTTCCTGTCATAGGTTCATAGATTTTGTCCTTCATAAGAGATTCCTCCACACCCACTCCTTTCTGAAAAGCCTCTCTGGGCCCCCAGGAAACCACTGAGCCCAAGAATTGTCAACCTGGAGAACCTTAGGGATTAGGGGTGAGTCAGACTTCATGGCAGCCAGAGAGTGTAACTACCAGTAATAAGGCCCATGGGGGAGAAGGGTATTTATGAGAGGGAAGGGAAGACTGCCAGGCAGCATTAGAACCAGTCAAGAGGATGGCAACGGTGTCTAGGAGCTGAGGCACCCCTGGCAAAGCTTCTGTCTCTCAGTCCCACCCCATTTGGGGTGGAGGGGCTACCATACTTCCTTGTCCTTGGCCCAACACAGAACCAGCATGTGAGGATGAAGAGCTCCTTTTCCATCCTGCAGGGGAGGGGACTCCTCCCACCACAAGAGAAGGAAGTCCAAGCCTATGGGGCCTTTCCCCTGAAAAGCCATCTGTTCTCTACCCAAGAAATTATGTTTTGAACATCCATCCTTGGCTAGTCTCAGGATGCCTGCCTCTTTAAGGCATGAGGAAACTGGCCTTCTGGAAAAGGTGACCATCTTCCCCTGAGGTGATGATGGGATAGGAGTTAGGAAGAGATTCCTTGGTTCAACCCCTTCAAATACACTCTGCTTATGTCCTACTACCCCTAGCTCCTCACTTCTGCTCCTGGTACAAGTGAAGATTAGCAGAGACTGCTACTGGGGTCTAGCCTAGAGGGGTTGGGACTAGTCTTGTGATGTGCTAATGGGAGCAAAATCAGTAGATTCTGGCACAGAATAAATACAGAGGCCACCCATCCAGACACCCAAACATGTCTATTTCTTGTCCGTTTCACTCCTCCTGGACAGATGGTGGTCATGGGTCACCCAGAGCCCTAGGGCCTAAGGCACCTGGTCCCAGCAGGACTGCTTGGGTTTTGATGCCATTCTGCTTCTACTTACACTTCTGAGGCACGCATCCAGATGGTAGTCCCAGATGTAGCTAAGCCCAGTCATTAAGAAAGCTGAGCCCAGCCAGATCGAAACTGACTGGCTTCTTCAAAGCTGTCCCCATGTAGTAGGTTCTTTAACATTTATTTACTGTGTCCATACTCACAGCCCAGCCCTTCCCTTCCCCTCCAAGCTCCGTACGCATCTGGCATCTTGACTGGCTTGCTGCTTCCCAAGGCTCCTGGGGGTTCATGCATTTAAGGCTCTGTGCATCTTGGGGACTGGGCATTATTTCAAACATTTTTATTTAGTGAATGTCTCTTTGGGGAAGAAAATTAACCTAATCACTTAGTGGTGTGTACACACACATTACTGAAGTAGCATAGTGCAGTGGAAAGAGTCAGCCAGATGTGGTTTTGAATCCAAGCTTCTACACTTAACTGAAATCTTGGGTGAATTAATTAACCTCTCTGAGCTTCAGTTTCTGGCTCTGTAAGAAGGAGCTAATACCTACCTCATAGGGTTGTTATGAATATCGAATAAAATAAAAAACAAAGAAAACATGTTGAAAACTGTAAAGTACCATACACATATAAGGCACTATGATTTATTATGGTATTGTCCAATCTCTCTGGGACTCTGTTTCCCCATCTCCTAAAAGCAGGAATTACATTAAATTGGTGTTTCTTAACCTAATTACACCTGTTCTCCCTTTTAATAGACACTAGCATGGCATACTTCCTGGAGAATCTAACATGCCCCCCCCCCTTCACCACCTCCCTGTACAGACCTACCAGACAGTTATTTGATGTCATGTAGTTTTTCCCTTCTCTGATTTGTATTGTGAGAATGTTGATCAACCTACACATATCCCATGGTGACTCTGACAGCACTTCCATCTCCTAACATTTCCATTTCATCTAAATGAAGTCTCAAGTCCCTTTCAGCTTCCTCACCAGTGTTTCTAATTGCAATTTGGGTGTTGCAGCTGGTCGTGGTGCAAGCAGTTACCCAAGACAGACAGCAGAGGGCAAAATGGAATAGAGAATGGCCCCCTAGTGCCCAGGGTATCTCAGAGGTCTGGGAGTAACTAGTCTGGGTGATTATTTGGAAGCTGGGAGTAAAGAGGAGGAGCAGCTCCTCTTATCTACAGAGCTGACTCTGACTCTTACCATTCTTGACTTGAATTGCTGACCCTTGGCCCTGCAGATGCACCACAGCTGGCTGGGAGGATGACAAGGATAGAGAGAAGAATCACTGTGAGAAATGACTGCTCACTTAGCCACCAGTTTCCACCTCTGACTTCTAGTCTCCTTTCTGATTCCAATTCTGATCCTTCTCCCCATCTTGGGATGCTAGTGACCACAGTGTGACAAGAGGATAATACGATTTTGTAGTTTGGCCACTTCCTAGCTATGTGACCTCTGCTAAATATGATGCATCTGAGCCTTGTTTTCCTTACTATAAAGTGGGGATTAGGAAATTTTTGGCTTCTCTCACAGAATGTTTGAAGATCAAATGAGGTGATGGATACAAAATTGCCCTGGAAGCCATCACACTCTATGCAGCTATGTGGGTTTAATTGTGGCCAAACAGTTGTAGTGAGGGAGGCTAAGATGAAACAAGGCCAGGCAGCAGAACCTGCCAATAAAGACAGATTAGGAAGCTCAAAGACTAGGGAGGTGCCCTTCAGGCAATTAAGGCTGGGGATGACCTGGAGCTGGTTGGCTGAGGACATAACGTATTTTCCGGCATATAAGACGACCGGGAGTATAAGACGACCCCCTAATTTTACAGTTAAAACAGGTTTAGGCCTATATTCGCTGTATAAGACTACCCCCCACTTCCGAGGCAACACCAGTTCTTTTTTTAATGGACCGCCTCTCTGACTCTGGCCAATCTGAGCAGGCTTTTTACTAGAACACAGTGTAGCTCCGGTACAGAACATGAACACAGTGTAGCTCCGGTACAGAACATGAACACAGTGTAGCTCCGGTACAGAACATGTACATTGTGTTCTAGTACCGGAGCTACACGAGAACACAGTGTAGCTCCGGTACAGAACATGAACACAGTGTAGCTCCGGTACAGAACATGAACACAGTGTAGCTCCGGTACAGAACATGTACACTGTGTTCTAGTAAAAAGCCTGCTCAGATTGGCCAGAGTCAGAGAGGAGGTCCATTAAAAAAAGAACTGGTGTTGCCTCGGAAGTGGGGGGTAGTCTTATACAGCGAATATAGGCCTAAACCTATGTTTTAACGGTAAAATTAGGGGGTCGTCTTATACGCCGAAAAATACGGTACTCTTAACCTTCTAAGCTCCTGATCCCAGGTGGTCTGGTGCTGACATGGTGTCTGGAGTGGCCGGTGGAGTTGGAGGCCAAGGTTAATAGGGCCTGCCTAGTAGCTCATTTTACCTGTCTACCATGTGTGGATATGGCAATCCTCAGTCCCCTGTGGAATGGGGAAAATGGCCAAGGGAGAACTCAGTTCCCTGAGTTACAGACCCTGGGGCGAAGCTTTTGTATTCACAGAGATAGGAGTAGCTCTGAGGGGAAAAAAACTCAGAACCTCCAGGGTATCCTCACAAAATAAAGCCTGAGCAAATTTAATAGGTGGCAAAGTCAAAGGTGGCTCTAGTCTGTGGCCTTCCCTCCTCCCCAGGGAGAGCAATGCCCAGCCAACCTGGTTCTCTCGAGTTCCAGCTTTATCTGCAGCACCTGTGAAAGAGGACAGGCCAATTAGAAGACTGACTCTTCCTACTTCCCTTTCTCCTCACCCAGGGAGCCAATGGCAGGGAGCTGTGATCCCTGCAGCCAAGCCTTGCAATGGGAGAGGACACCCCTTTTGTCTGTCACTTGTCCCTGACTAGCAAGTCCTACTGACACCCACAGAGACAGATGAAAGAGCATTCCTGTCACTGTGTAACCCTGAGACAAGTCTTTAGCCTTTTGCTTGATTTCTATTAATTTTCTTCATAGAGTGCATTGCCATTTGTAAGTATCCTGCTTCTTTAATCATCTTTCCGCCTCTAGGACATAAACTACATGAGAACAAGAATAACTCTTACACATAGAAAGTGCTCGATTAATATTCATGGAAAGATTAAATGGAAAAAAATCCAACTCCATCTCCTGTAGACACAGTAACACTGATGATCCCTGTTTGAACTATGAATCAAAGAATCTGAGTCCTGCTGCAGAATTTGTTGACCTAGAGAAGTCAGAAGTAAAGAGTTCATTTCTTTAAAACCTCAGGATACAGAAAGAGAGCAGGAGAGGGAAATATTAATAACAACTGGCCCAAGCCCAGGCAATTTGACTCCTGTCAAATCCAGTTAGGTAGTTTTGGATCTGCATCTATATTTCTTGGATGCCCTTCTGGGCCTACAGGGAAAGATGCCAAGAGACGGAATGCTATTCGAACGGGTAATGCGGTTGGCTAAGGATGTAGTACAAGGAGCACTTGATTCCTCGACAGGATGGTCTTGATGCCTGGTTTTGTTTCTCCCATAGCCTGAGTGATTCATAAGTTTTCAACTCCTTGACTCTCAGCAACTACTTATCTACCTCTCAGAAGGTGATCTTAGAATTTATGGGATAAGACTATTGTAGGGCTGGTATCTTGCCCAGTCCTGAACATTCCTCCCCATATCAACATCAGCACAGGAATTAGATGCTGGCAATCAGAGCAGACCCAATCCATCTCCTACAGGAAGTTCAGTGAATCCTCAGGGCCTCTGTTTCAGGCTCATATGAGTCTACTAGCCCATTATAGAAAGGCCTAGAGCCGTGGTCAGCAAACTGCGGCTCGAGAGCCACATGCAGCTCTTTGGCCCCTTGAGTGTGGCTCTTTCACAAAATACCACGAGGCTTGGGCGAGTCTATTTTAAAGAAGTGGCGTTAGAAGAAGTTTAAGTTTAAAAAAATTTGGCTCTCAAAAGAAATTTCAATTGTTGTACTATTGATTTTTGGCTCTGTTGACCAATGAACTTGTTGACCACTGGCCTAAAGTAAGGGAGAACTTGTGATAGAAGGGTTGAGACAGGTCAAGAACGGGTGTCTCCTGGACAGATTGGTATAAACAAGAAGTTAGAGCAGGTCAGATCCTACTGGCTTGTTTAATCTCTAATTTTACACTGAGCTAGGAGAGCTGTATTTTTTATTGCACAGCCACACCAGCAGAAGCATTTGAAACTGCTCCCAGGATCACCCATCCCTGTTCTATTAAAGTATTGGTAAAGGAGCCTTTGGGGGTAGGGGGGAGAGAAAAACAGGAACTCACCAGAAGGCCCTTGGAGGCCAGGAGGTCCTTGAGGACCAGGAGGACCTGGAGGGCCAGGTGGGCCCATAACAGTTGTTCCTGGAATTCCAGGAATCCCTGGAATCCCTGGGGGTCCCTGGGGTCCTGGAGGTCCTGGAGGTCCTGGGGGGCCATTTGGCCCAGGAGGTCCTGCCTTCTTTCCTGAAAAACAAGAGTCAGTGTTCTATTTGTAGTTATTGAGTGAGGATGTACTATCAGTTCAATGGACTTGCAATGACAAATAGTCAGCACTCTGAGAATTCCTGCTATTAAAGAGGTGAACACCTTTGTCACACATTTCTCTCCCCCTGCCCTCCCCCTCCTTTCATGAATAATCATTTACGGAATTGGGTTTGAAGATAATAGAAATAAATGGTCCCCAAGGAGCTCAGTCTAGTGAGGAGACAGACACAGTCACAGGAAAGCAGAAGTGCCATATTCATGGTGGAGACAAAATACTGAAGAGGTCAGGAAGGGCTTCAGAAAAGATGTTATATTTCAGCTGAGTCCAAAGGATCTGAATTACCAAGTGGCCAGTTTTCAGAATACTGAGAATTGGGCTATTGTCAAAGAGAGTGGCTTTGCTGTTTGGTGGATTGATGCAGATGGAAGAGAAAGCTAGGAGGGCAGCCTGCCCTTAGGAGTAACATCAGCTGCAGGAAGGTTTCCTATGGGAGGCAGGATGTGCAGGAACTGGTGTCATCAAGGAAGTGCTTGCTGGGAATGAGGAATGGGAGGGAGGGAGAAAGAGAGGAAGGGGAAGGAGAGGCTAGGAGTAGAAGGAGCTGAGGAGGAGGCAGCAGACTTTACTTTCTCAGCTGACCTCTCAATATTATTTTTAAAGATCTCTGGGGAAGGAAATTCTGCACACTCTCTTGGTAACATGTCCCAACATTCATTACCCCTCACTGTTAGGAAGTTTTTCTGTATATTTAATTGAAATCCCTTCTACAACAGTTTAAGGTCTTTGTGTAGATAGAGAAGAATAGTTACCACCATACATATAATAATCCTTGTATTCTCAAAGACACTGTCACCTATTAACCTCTATTTTATAGATAAATAATCCAGTTTCCCAGTCTTTCTTCAGGGGCCCTATTCTCCTATTCTTGAATGTATTATTAATCAAGCCCACCCAATCCTCCTCTTTTTGTCCTCACTATCCTTTCAGAACAGTCCTGATCCTCCTATTTCAAGTTCCAGTCCTCCTGACAATCCCAAGAGCATACTGCAGTATTGAACCCAAACCTGCAGCTCATCCTGCTTGGTTCCTCTGCTCTGTGCAGCCCATTCAAGCACTGTAGATAGTCACAGGTGGCTGTCCCTTCCTCCCTTTCCCATTTTCTCAGTTTGGTGGAAGTCCCAGGAATGGAAACCTTTTATCAGACTCCACCACAATGTCTTCACTGGTGGTACTTTCTTAGTTTTAAATACAACCCTCTCGAGTCTCACTTACATACCGTATTTTCCAGCATATAAGACGACCCCCTAATTTTACAGTTAAAACCTAGGTTTAGGCCTATATTCGCTGTATAAGACTACCCCCCACATCCGAGGCAACACCAGTTCTTTTTTTAATAGACCGCCTCTCTACTCTGGCCAATCTGAGCAGGCTTTTTACTAGAACACAGTGTAGCTTCGGGTACAGAACATGTATAATTTACATGCATAAAAAGCCTGCTCGGATTGGCTGAGTTAGAGAGGCGGTCCGAGCAGCCTCGCAGTGATTGGTGCGGGATCGAGTTGGAAAATTCATTTATCGGCATATCGAGATGTTTTTCAGGATATACTCTGCATATAAGACGACCCCCCCCCCCCCGATATTTTTTTTCCCCGTTGACTTTTTTTCGTTTCAAAAGTCGTCTTATACGCTGAAAAACACGGTACCTCCTTACTGCTCCCAATTCCCTGCTCTGCAGCCTTATAGGCAGAAAAATCTCGTCTGATTTAGCATGTTTTCCTTTGAAAATAATGCTGCATGCTTAAGAAACCAAATTCCCATGGCAACATATTCAAAAGGCCAGTTGTCCATGTCTAAGCATACAATGGGATCATTGTGGGGCCCCTTGCCAGGAGAAGGAAGGTCCTGAGAGCCTCTCTCCCAGGGAAGCCCCTGTTGCCATAAAGACCTAGAGGTAGGAGCTTCAGCATTTTCACTGCACTTAGAAGCAAAAGATTGTATCTTCCCAGTTTCTAGATCTAGCCAATTTCAAGATGCTGAACAAGAAAGCCATTTTCTTTCAGATTCGGGCAGCTTCCAAGTAAGTCTCATTCAGCACCCAAGTTTCAATCCCAACTAGTGTCGTGGAAAGAATATGTAGTCAGAAGATAAAGCCATCGCTCCCAAATCCGCCATGGACACATTTTGGGCAAATTGCTTCCTCTTGGGGAGCCTTAGTTTCTTCATCAGTGACTTCTCTAAATTTCGTCCCAAGACTGAGGTTCCTTAAGGAGCACTGACTTCCCACTGATAGTCAGGAAACTACCCTAGTCTGGATGTAAGGGTTGCTTCTCCTTCACTGTTCTCTGGGCTGTGTAGACACAGAAGATGGTGCATATTGGGCTGTTCTATGTTCCAGAATTCGCAGGCCTCACAGTAATTTTTAAAGCTAGAGGGTATTCTGTGGGTAGTACAACTTTGGTGTTAATACTGTGATTCTCTTGTGATTACTAATGTAATTTTGGAGGAATTACAGCCAGAAACTCCTCCAGTCAAAGAGAATAATGGTTGCAGTGTAAACAAAGAATATTCACTTATGAAAATGATAGAAGGCATTTAGGGAAAAGCTTTTGCTGTGATCTAGTTCTGCAGCTGACCCTCTTTGCTCCTCAGCACCCAGTTTTAGTCAAGTGTGCTTGCATACTGGCAGAAAGTAGGTCCAAAGAGGAGCATGACCCCTGGCCAAGAAGATGGCTTTAGAGGATTGAATTTGTTCTCCGGATTTCCTTATTTTAACAGAGCACTTCCGATACAAAAGTTCAGAGACTTTTGTACTTAGAAAGTTATCCTTTGTAGTCTTAGATGAAAGTATACATTCTTTTAAAATATAACCTTTACAAAAGGGTATTTTGCTAACCTATTAGCAAAGTCCAAGTAGTTGAAAGAACAACTAAAAGCAAGTGACTGAAAATGTGTGTGTGTGTGTGTGTGTGTGTGTGTGTGTGTGTGTGTGAAAGAGAGAGAGAGAGATAGAGAGAGAGAGAGAGAGAGAGAGAGAGAGAGAGAGAGAGAGATTGATTTCATTCAAGAATGGAAATTAACTAAATTTAAATGAACTCTTCAGGCATGTGCCTATTCACTATATCCCTAGAAATTTGTATTAAATGGCTTCTAAATCACTCTCAACCAAAGTAGATGTTTAAGTCCTCTATGCATCTCCTCCTAGTAATGGCCCATACACAGGTAGCAGTGTGAGGCAGAGACTCAAGTCCTTGGCAGGGGGTACTGAAATCTGAATGTAATTCCAGAGCTTCTGGCCTAGACAGCTGTCTTCTATTGCCATTCTCAGGGCTCACCCATCAGATAACACCGAGATTGGGAGCTGCTTTCCACCACACACATGCCCTACCCTCTGGGAAATCACTAGCCTACTTGCTTCTCCCTAAACATGCCATGCTTTTTCATATTTCTGTGAGAACTGAGTATGCTATTTCCTTTGATGGAGTGTCATCCCCTCTCTTTTCCCCCCCTCATCCTTCAAGTCCAGGTCAAATACTCCTTTTTTTCTGAGTTTGGTCACTCACTCTCCCAAGGAGAACTACCAGTACTTGCTCCTTCTTGGTGCTCCCATAGCATGCTGTTCATGCTTTGATGACAGCATTTTTAGATTAGATAGTAATTATTTATGTGTGTACTTCCCATGATTCCAACTGCACTGGGATATTTTTGAGGAATGGCACCATTTTTTTCATCTCTGTATCTCTACTTTTGACAAACATAAGATGCTTATTCACTGTCTAGTGAACAAGCAAGTAGAAAAAAAAATACTAGTAGCTGTGATTAGAAATTGCTCTCAAGTCTACTTATTAGAAACGCAAGTCATCCCCAGGCTTGTGTTAGGAGCAGAGGGTGTCCTTCTTCAAGCCAGGTGAGCATTCTGGGTTTGTTATCATGTCTGTCTTAAAGGAATATGACAAGTGTTAAAAACTGCATGTTTGAAAGTCAAATTTACTTTCGTGGTGAATGCCCAGGCTCCACAGAAAAAGGTTTTTTCTCTAGCTTCAGCTCTCTGGCTGTTTTCCAGCTTTGGTCAGCTCAGGTTCACAGGAGGCCAGGTTTTTTCATGTGGCCACCACACCTCAACCCACCAGAGCACTCTTGTGCTCAGAGAAATGGTAGGCAGCAGCTGAAGTCAGTCTTTGTGGCTAGTCTGGGGATGATAATGTACTCTATAAAGCTCCAGAAATCTTAACAGACAGAATCATTTGACTTAAAACATTTTAATAAAAAGTGATTAATTTCACTCTATTTTCTTCCTAGGTCAGAATATATAAACAAATAGATATTTAGAACTGCTTTTGCAATAGGTTCTTTAGTCCCAAGGAGTGAATCATATTGCCTGATCTTGTAAACTATTTTGGAACTTGTTCTGTCTTTGGGTACTCCTTAAATAAGCAAGCACTCGGGCTAGTCCTATGGCAAGCACACCACAGACTTACTGACCCAACAATGGCAAAATGGATCTGCTCAACTAGAGCTTCTTTGAAAAGCTAAAAGATCAGGGTATTGCCAAAACCGGTTTGGCTCAGTGGCTAGAGCATCGGTCTGTGGATTGAAAGATCCTAGATTCGATTCCAGTCAAGGGCATGTACCTTGGTTGCGGGCACATCCCCAGTGAGGGCTGTGCAGGAGGCAGCTGATCGATGCTTCTCTCTCATTGATGTTTCTAACTCCCTGTCCCTCTCCCTTCCTCTCTGTTAAAAATCAATAAAATATATTTTTTAAAAAGATCAGGGTATTACTCAAGCCTAGTTTTTCCATTACAGAGAAAATTATATTGAAACCCCAAAGCAAGAAATACCTTCCCTGACTATCTGAAATATATGATAGGGATAACTTTGAGGCCAAGAAACAGGGTACTGACATCCCTCAGGAGGTAGTATATATACCTACTCCCTACTGGCTGTCTCAGGATTTCATTAATACCTGATCACTGACTTAATAAAGGAAGGGGGGGCGAAGAAGAGAAAGAAAAGGGGCAGGGGAAAGGGGCAAGTAAGAATAAATGAAAGAGAAACTGAATTGTATGGATGAAAAGCAATAAAGAAAAACAAAATCAACATTCATATGTTGCCACAGAAGCAGTTCTATGTTTTGTGGATAACCACTGAGAAACAATCTCTTTTTTTCCCCCCTTTGGAATCTATAACACTCAAGAAGATCCCATGTGAGTGAATAAAATAACAGACAACCAGACTATAGAAATCCTACTGCTGGGATTCTTTTTCTTCTAATTTTAGAAAAGACAGGACATGACAGCAATTTAATCAAACCAGGAACTTACCCTTTTTCTTGTTTTTAACTGGACCTGTAACACAAATAAAATGGAAAATTAAATCACTGAAAATTAATAGAAAGTGTTTATTCTCCAAGACAGTCATAGGAGGGATCACAAGACACTGAAAATTTGAGGAAGCCGCATGCCAAGGTCAGGTTATTGACAAGGTATCTCCCAACTATCAAACTTCACGAGTCTTTTTATGATTGTTTTGCTCCTGTTGTAACAAGAAAGTTACAAGGAAGCTTCTTTCCTAGGGATAAAAAAATCATTCAGGCTGCCTTGGGAGTAAGGGAATGGCTGCTTCTCTATAAAGCCAAAATGTCCAGAAATGCAGAACTCCACAACCTTAGGACGGCATTCCAATAATTCTGCAAGTCCTGAGACTGAAGAGTTATGCATTCAGGCGAGGAGCTGATATGAAGTGTCATGTGCTGAATCTGGAAGGAAAAAAAGGTTATTTTCATGGAAGAAGCAGAGCAGCGGTAGTTAATATTTTAGTCACTTCCTTATCATAATTTAATTAGTAATTAAAACAGTGCAACCACGGTATATGTGGGGGCCACATGAACTCTTACTGTAATTTACCATAAGTTAACAGACAATTTAAGGAAGTGTCAATAATTTTATTGACAACTCGCTGTACCCGGCCATGCGTTTCTGTGGCTCAGTCTGGTTAAATGGAAAAGAAAGAAAAGAGAAAGCGCACGTTTCTAATATGTTTAATTTCACAATGCTTGTGGGTATACAATATTTTTTGTTGTTCCATTGTCTGTGCAGATATAGAAATTATCTGGTTTTCCGACTCTAGAACATGCAACATATAATTATATGAACATAGATACCAAAATCCTCAACAAAATTCCAGCAAATTGGCTTCAGCAGTACATCAGGAAGACCATACACCATGACCAAGAAAGATTTTTCCCAGGGATGCAAGGATGGTACAATATCTGCAAATCAATAAACTTGATACATTACATAATCAAATTGAGAGATAAAAATCATATAGTCATATCAATTGATGCAGAAAAGCATTTGAGAAAATCCAACACCCTTTCTGATAAAAACTCTCAGCAAGGTAGGAATAGAAGGATCATACCACCACAAAATAAAAGCTATATATGGCAAACCCACAGCCAACATCACACTCAATAGGCAAAAACTAAAACCATTTCCCCTAAGAGGAACAAGACAGGGATGTCCACTCTCACCACTCCTGTTCAACATAGTACTGGAAGTACTAGCCATTGTGATCAGAGAAGAAGACGACATAAAAGGCATCCAAATTGGAAAAGAAAAAGTAAACTATCCTTTTTAACAGATGACATGATATTTACATTGAAAACTCTAAAGACTCCATCAAAAAATTATTAGACTTAATAAATGAATTTGACAATGTAGCAGGATACAAAATTAATGCCAAAAAATATATGGCATTTCTTTACACCACTAGTGAACTTACAGAAAAAGAGACTAAGAAAGAAACCACATTTACCATCACAGCAAAAAAATTAAGATACCTAGGAATAAACTTAACCAAAGAGTTAAAGACCTATATGAGAAAAACTATAGGACACTGAAAAAAGAGATAGAGGAAGACATAAACAGATGGAAGAACATACCATGTCCATGGATTGGTAGAATCAACATCATCAAAATGTCTATACTACCCAAAACAATCTATAGATTTAATGCAATCAATTAAAATACCAACAGCATATTTCACAGACCTAGAACAAACTCTGCAAAAATTCATCTAGAATATAAAACGACCCTGAATAGCTGCAGCAATTCTGAGAAAGAAAAAGAAAGTAGGTGTGATGTCAATACCAGATATCAAGCTGTATTACAAAACCACTGTTCTTAAAACAGCCCAGAAATGGCACAAGAACAGACATATAGATCAATGGAATAGAATAGAGAACCCAGGAATCTACTCAAACTGCTCTGCCCAATTAATATTTGACAAAAGAGGCATGAGCATACAATGGAGTCAAGACAGTCTCTTCAATAAATGATGTTGGGAAAACTGTACAGATACATGGAAAAAAATGAAACTAGATCACCAATTTACACCATGCACAAAAATAAACTGAAAATGGATAAAGGACTTAAACATAAGATGGGAAACCATAAAAATACTAGAAGAATCCACAGGCAGCAAAATCTCACAAATATGCTGAAGCAATTTCTTCACTGATACTGCTCCTAGGGCAATGGAAACTAAAGATAAAAAACAAATTGGAATACATCAAAATAAAAAGCTTCTGGACAGTAAAGGAAACCATCAACAAAACAACAAGAGAGGAGAAAACAAGATGGCAGCATAGATAAGCACCTAAACTGCTGCCTTGCACAACAATTTCAAAACAGCAACTCAAAGACTGAACAGACATCACCCAGAACGACAGGAAACCTGGCTGAGTGGAAATTCTACATCTAGAAGGAAAAAGAAAAGCTCACAGAGAATCAGAGGAGTCGCAAAGGGCTGAGGTACGGAGACACACCCACAGAGAGGAAGGGCAGCCGAGTGTCTGGCTTGTTTCTCTGGCATGGGGGGTGGGGGGAAGAGGCTGGTAAAGGAAGCCCTCTACTGCACTGAACTCCAGTTCTGAATGCACTGAACCCCAGTTCTGGCTGAAACCCTGTGGATTAAGGCTCATAAAGGGGAAGTCTGGACTGTCAGGTAGAGAGAAAGGTACATGGAGCCTTGGAGACTCGGGGGAGCCATAGCAGGCAGGGTTATGGAGGCACATGCAAGCGCTCATAGAGAAGTCTGTGTGCAGAGGTTGCCATAGCCTTTCCCTGCCATAGACTTTCCTTTCGATAGCACAAGGCCATCGAAAGCCCCTGACTGCAATAAACCCCAGTTCCAACGACACTGAAACTCAGTTCCAGGCGAGCCCCAGGGGACCCACACTCTTACGAGGGAAATCTGGACTGTCAGGCGGAAACTCAAGGGAGCCGCAAAAAGCAGATGTCTAGAGGTGCATGTGCAAGTATGCTCAGACAAGACTGCTGACTTTGCCACTGGCTGCAGTGAACCTGAATCCTGATTGCGCTGAACTCCAGTGCTGGGTGAGAATCTGGGAAACCAGATTCATTCAGAGAGAAACTGGACTGTGTGGCAGCAGACGAAACTTGAGGGTGGCTTTCTCTCAGAGATCTCTTGCAGTGATCACTGAGGGACACTGAGACCCAGGGGCTTCATAGGACAGGGCTGACAGGAGGCAAAGATTGTCTGCTCCTCCCTGAGACTCCAACCCATCCAACCTGAGCACAGAGGCTTTTGCAAGTCTTCTTCCATAAGGGTGTCTCCAGCACAGAAGTTCTCCCTGTGTAGACACAGCTGATCCTCACAGCCAATGGGCCTGGAGGTCAATTCCTCCTAGTGATACCAACAATAGTCAAGACTTAACTACAACAAGGCTGTACACACAGTCCACAAAGGGCTGCACCAAATGTGTCCACCTCAGGTAACTGGGGGATTCTGAGCCACTGGGCCATATAAAACACTTACAACACAAATCTACTCTACCAACTTAGAGAAGCAGCGGAAATGTGGAGGCAAAGAAACATCACAAATGAAAGAAATGGAGAACAAATGACTGGATATAGAATTCAAAACCATTGTTATAAGGTTTTTCAATAATTTACTAGAAAAGGCTGATAAATTTAGCGAGACCTTTGAGGATATGAAAAAGGACCAACTAGAAATTAAACATACACTGACTGAAATAAAAATATACAGAGATCCAACAGCAGACTAGAGGAACACAAGAATCAAGTCAAAAAATTTGAAAACAAAGAAGCAAAAAGCACTCAACTGGGAAAGAAAAAAGAAAAGAGTATCCAGAAAGTTGAAGATAGTGTAAGAAGCCTCTGGGACAACTTCAAGCATACAAATATCATAATTATGGGGGTGCCAGTGGAAGAGAGAGAGCAAGATACTGAAAACCTATTTGAAGAAATAATGACAGAAAACTTCCCCCACCTGGTTAAAGAAATAGAATTACAAGTCTAGGAAGTGCACAGAACCCAAACAAAAGGAATCCAAAGGTGACCACACTAAGACACATCATAATTAAAATGCCAAGAGCAAAAGACAAAGAAAGAATATTAAAAGCAGCAAGAGAAAAACAGTTAATTACCTACAAGGGAGCATCCATATGATTGTCAGCTGATTTCTCAACAGAAACTATGCAGGCCAGAAGGGAGTGGCAAGAAATATTCAAAGTGATGAATAGCAAGAACCTACAACAAAGATTACTCTACCCAGAAAAGCTATTATTCAGAATTGAAGGTCAGATAAAGAGCTTCACAGATAAGAAAAAGCTAAAGGAGTTCATCACCACCAAACCAGTATTATATAAAATGCTGAAAGGTATTTTTTTAAGAAGAGAAGGAAGAAGAAAAAGGTAAAGATAAAAAGTATGAACAACAAATACATGTCTGTCAAGTGAATCTAAAAATCAACTGAATAAAAAATCTGATGAACAGAATAAACTGGTGAATATAATAGAATCAGGGGCACAGAAAAGGAGTGGACTGACTATTCTTGGGGGGAAAGGTGTGTGGGGGATGCTGGAAGAGACTGCACAAAAATCTTACACCTATTGATGAGGACGGTGCGGGGGAGGTAAGGGCAAAGGGATGGTGTGGGAACTGGGTGGAGGAGATCTATGCGGGGGGGAGAGGTACAATTGTAATAATCTGAACAATAAAGATTTCTTAAATTAAAAAAAATAAAAATAAAACGAATAAAAAATATGATGAACAGAAAAAGAAATATATTCTTGTATACATGTATATAGTTTTTCAGGGTCAGTGGATAAGGGAGAAGGCACTGGAGATCATACCGAGTGTTGCAATATGTGTCAGAACCAGTAAGAAGAGTCACTGGTAGGGATGGGGATGCTGTGGAAGCCCAAGAAGGGCAGTTGGTCCTAATTTTTCAATCTTACTTTGCTCTACTGGGCTGCAGCAAGTAGAGTTAAAGCTTGGGACAATAGCAGTGGGTACAGATG